TGGGCTGCCGAGCTCTCCCCAAACGCATACGAGATCGATCTGAGGCAAGCTCCGCTGGCGGATGTCTGCGCTTTCAAAGGTAGTACCGAAGCCTTGCAGCAGGGCGTTGCTTGAAGAAATGTACAGATGTTGTTGGAAGACGCATTCCGAGCCCAATCCTCTTGCTAGACTCTCGTTTCAGACTGCAGGGCATCCAGCTGTGGTTAATACGCTTAATGCCCTTTCAGTCAGGGGTCCAGGTTGCAAACCGCTAGGCCTTGTGCCCCGCAGGAGGCATCGTCTTTCAAGCTGACAGCCTGGTCTCACTTGATGTTTGGCTGGACTCGACGAAGCTGTGGCATGCACAGGTGCGAGCCTCCAACTGTGGCCGACAAGACTCCTCACAAGCCATGACATGCTTTGTGGCAGAATACAAAACAGCAGCCACTGTCCTTTCGGAGGCGGCCGACTTCATGTCTGCCAGTGGCATGAACGGCATGGCCTTGGGCAGCAATGGTTGATTTTGAGAGCGTTGGCATTCAGGCCGGTGGCTCGCTTGCAAACATGCTGTCTGCATCTATGGCAAGAGGTTATAGGCACAAGCTCTTCGGTCCACTGAGCGGGAGCAGAACAGAAGCTGGACAGGAGTAGGACACTTTGAGGCAATCGCCAGGGCTAGATTGGACATTTGCTTCTCGCTCCTGGATCCATGTGCGCAGCGCCAGCAGTCTGAGTATGTAGCAACTACATTGATGCCTTCAGGCAAAACCTTTGACTGTGCCTGGCGTTGTGAGAGAATGTCTTGCATTTGGCGGTGTCTATCCGCTACCTTGGGCATCAGAACGCCCTTGGCTGCATGTCGGATGCCACATGTCAGGTCAGAACAATTGCGGGCCTCATTCAGGCAGGCAAGAAGGACATCTTCCTTGTCTGCAATTCCGGAAGCTCGAGGAGACCTCAATCTCACGATTTTTGACCAGACTGTATTGCACCACAGCAATCCAAGTCTGAGGCGGCTCGGCTACGCAAGCCTGGAACGACCCACACTGACATGCACGAAAGCACAACTACGATCCATTCGCTGGTTCAAAATCAAAAGCTAGCCTCGAAGGTTTTGCTTGTACGACGGAGTGCTCTGACCTCAAGATATCGTGCTGGGAGAACCTTCTAGCAGCTAGCACAACCCCACAACAGTTGGTCCCTGGACCCTGCATCAACTTTCACCCCTTCCTGCCAGTCGCTGGGGGTCCCACGCGCCGGCGCCACCTCGCCACCTCGCAGTCAGCGCCAAACTTGGCCAGGCGGGCCTTCAAAGCTTTGTTCTTTCTTGAAAAATTAAATCTATGAATCAGATGTGTTTTGGCACCTTTTGCCATGCAGGAACTGACATGCGAGTTGCAACTATCCTCCTGCAGCCAACGGTCATGGCCGCCAGACAGGCTCGCCAAGCAAAATCTGACGAAAAGGCCCGATGCAGCAGCTACAACCCAATGCATTGGAGTGCACGGAATTGCTCGCACACTCGAGGGTTCTCAGCCTTGTCTGTGACTGTTGAACTTGAGGCAGGAAGCTTCATGGCAAGATGTTCTGCTTGGAGACGTTCGAAGATGCTAAACGTCATCAAACCATCAGCTGGTTCGGCATGAGAACCCATCAAGACTCCGCTTCAGCTACGTCAGCTACGTGCTTCCCAGTTTGCCACAACTTGGGCTGGAAGTCGCGCGCGTGCGCGGATGACCAGGTAGAAGTATGCATTGAAGGCATTCATGACCTGAAGACGCTTGCAGCTGAAATCAAAGCCAGTGCCGCACAGCTTCATGCTGAGCGCGATGCTGCCATTGACCAGAAATACAGCTGCATCCAGTCTGTCCTTCCACGAAACGAAAAAAGATGCTGTGCTCCCAACGCAACACCAGGCCTACCTCGCAAACGGGCTTGTGTTTGCAGTCTGAAGCTGCCTTGGTCTGAGCTTGGCTAGCAGGTTCTTCGTTCTGCATCCAAGGTCAAAGACGTCTTCTCTGTGCGGATGAGCTTCATCCTTGAAAAGAAGCCGCCTTTCACCGACAGTTCACGCCATACGATGATCACCGTGTCCTTGATACTGACTGCACATGCAGCACGGAGACGACTGGTCAGATGACTAAGCCACGAACGACCACAGGCAATATGACTCTGAGGATCAAGTACACCAACGACAAGCGCCTTGGCTCCATGCAGGCGACTCGAGCACATGGTAAGGATGTCATACTGCAGATGTAGCAGCAACTTCCAGTGGATTTTCAAGCTGCAGACAGGCTGCTGGTAAATGTTGGACGCAGACAGGTGAGAAAAACGCAGCAGAAATTTGGACATTCCCAAGATGGCGCCAGAAGCATCGATGCAGATACATAGCTGGCAGAGCACTCGGAAGTCCACGTCGGTCTGGGTCGAACAAAGGACGCAGATCGGGGACACGAGGTGATGGATCAGCGTCTCCGGCTCCATCCTACAAAAAGGTGCGAAAAGGAAGCTGATTGCAGAAAGACAACTTAGCACGCCATGTAGGGGAATGCCGGGGAGCTCCTCTGGAAGCCAAGGCTGAAGCTATCGAAAATCTCGTACGAAATCTCCAGGCAGAAGGCATGCAAAGCGAGCGATGGCGCGCCCATCACCCATGCTAGCAGTGCCATGGTGGCTACCACCCCATTGTGGACCACCTCATCAAGGTCCAGCAGCATTTCTGCTAGCCTTCTGCGATACTTGTGTCCTTGCCTAACTTCAAAGTGACCCTGCGAGCGTTCAGGCCAGGGCGCGATGAACAAGAGCTCCGCACCGGATCGCTTCCGAAGGAGCTTTTTCTTCTCGGGCGAAGAGCCTTCGCCTTCCTCGGCAGCCTCTTGGCCAAGCTGCACCTCCTGGCAGGCCATGCAGGTGGAACACAGAAACTCTTTCAAGTCAGCCTTGCCTTGCCAGGAAGCGGCTCCTGAGTCCGCAGCCACAGAAAACATGGACACAACAGATGTGAAGGTGCAAGGCTGAGACGGCTGAGATGGGCACCTCCCAAACTTCATCGCGCAGCTCGAGCCTTGGGACCAATCTGTGGAGCAGCCGAACCAGCAGCAGCGGCGAGGACCTGCAGAGCTGAAAATATGAGCCAAGAAGGCCTTTATCATTACTATTCTTACTGTGAATCCACCCTGTGACGTCT